AGTGCCCTCTTCTGGTTGGAGAATTAACATCCTGATCTGATATGGTCCAGCTGGTTGCCCATCCCTGGTGTAAACAGACCTCTCCAATGCATTGTGTCTGTGTGAATAAACTAAACACATATATGTGCTGGAGGCAACATTTTGAATAGAAACATTTTATTCCTATGAACGTTTTCACACAGGCAACAAACATCCATCTGCTAACACTTTATTAGTGACGTAGTTACACATGTACTTATTATAATAACATTAAATTATACAAACCACAGGTCGAGAGCTGTAGTTCACAGGTCGAGAGCTATAGCTGTAATTCCAATCACACAAGTTTGTGATGCTGTTTCCTAATGTTCATTGAAACTATGGTTTTGGGAAATACAGAATCGTTGAAATATGTTTAATGATGGAACTTGCGACCAGTTGGCTAACATTGCTTTTGGGAATCGTACCACTGATTTAGTTTTAAGTGTTCAATGTTAATCTTCTTGTATTCATGCCTTGTGCTTTTTAACTACTTTTTTTCTTTATGGTGTAAGGTCTACTGCAATACTGACTTGGAACTATGGTTTTGGGAAATGCAGAATCATTGAACTATATTTGTAATGACGGAACTTGTGACCATAGTTGGCTAACATTGCTTTTGGAAAACACACCACTGATTTAGTGTTCGATGTTTACCTCTCCATGTAATCTAGTGTTATTTTTTGTGCTTTCTACTGTTCTACTGTAGTTGTCTTGTCCATGCAGTACTGGGATGTGCACTTTTCAGTGACAGTCATCAAATGAAAGAGGGTCTTTTTTCCATGAAAATCGTCTCGGTTACTAGTGTAACTCTCGTTCCCTGATGGAGGGAATGGAGCCATTGGGCCGAAATACGACACTAGGGGTTGCCCTTGAGAGCCCCAAACACCTCTGACATATTCAGAAAAGGCCAATAGAACTGGCGTCATGCCAGGACATACGGGCATATAAGGCAGGCCGTCTGCACACACACTTCGGGTTTGTTCTGAGGAGCCGAGACTCCTCAGAGGCAGTTCACGTTGTGGCAGGAGGAACACAACAGGTGGGCTTCACTAGTAACCGAGATGTTCCCTTTCTGTCGGTCACTTTCGTTGTTGTTTAGCCGCTATTGCGGCCATGTAGACTTTAAGGGTGGAGGCAGACAGATGCCTTTCCAGGCAAGAACGTTCATCAGGAGCATTATTGCCTCGTACAGAGGTGGAAACACTACACTGTACCTGGGCGGGTGCCTGAAGAGCTGAATTGTGAACCGGATCATTCTGATGAGCCTGCGTAATGGGCCGGGCAGCACTAGCCATGTGTTTAGACTCAATACAAGCAGCACCAAAGGAAGGATATACGCTGTTCCCAAGGTGGTGGGTTCGCAGCGAGAGGGAGCAAGGGAAGCCACGGCGGGAGGCTCTCCATCCCTTGTTACTCATGGCAGACAATGCGATGAAACACCTACCTTGCTCCTCAGGTCCGCTGTGGAGGTGACTGGTGACTGTCTAGCCTTCTCGGTCCTCGCCACACTTACCTACTGTGTCCAGACCCGTTGCAGCAGAACGTGGGGAGGGGACATGCTTGTGACCACCGAGGTTCTGGTGTGAGTGTTCGATGTCTGGCCATCGAGAAGACGAAGTCCATGAGCATTATGTGTGTGTGTGTGTGTGTGTGTGAAATTGCTCTTTTGATGACCATGTAAAATTCACTGCCCTCTACGATGGGAGTGCGGCTCTAGGGGGTCTAGAGAAAGAACCTGCGCCGATGCAAGATGTGTTTAATCGCCTCTGTCTGCTTCTTCAGTGCCGAGAACTGCATTGAGAAGTCCTCAACAGTGTTGCCGAACCGGCCACCTTGGGAGATGGGGGCATCGAGAAAGCGCATTTTCTCCACTTCCCACATCTCTGCCAGGTTGAGCCAAAGGTGGCGCTTCTGGACCACTAACGGCCTGCGCCATCACCTTCGTAGCCCAGAGGGCATAGTCAGTGGCCAAAAGCAGTTCCTGCATTACCTCCGAGTCACGACTACCCTCATGCAGGTCTTTCAATGTTTTGGACGCATGGTAGACTTGCAGGATAGCATAGCGTGCTACGCGGATGCAGCCAGGCCAGCGGCATTGTGAGCCCTCGCCATGAGAGACAAGGTAACCTTACAAGTCTTGTCAACAAGTCAAGTCAACGTCACGCTTGGGACAGGGTGGAGGAGACCACTCAAGCACAACGCTCACGACTGCCCGGGAAAGCACTGCTGCCAACTCACGCACCGATCTCGTATCTCTCACGGAGGAGCAGAAGCATAAAAGGAGGAGCGACGACGGTGAAGGACGAGAGAGGCCAGGCCTGGATTTATGTTGTGTTGTTTGTTTCCGCTCCTCCGTGAGAGATACGAGACCGGTGCTTCGCGCAGGTGTCGCTCATCAGCAATCACGGCACCGGCCTCGCGCCATTCTCTCACGGCCCTCGACCTCGTCCTGCTCGCCACAACATCATCCAAAAGGAAAAGGTCAGAATATAAATAATTATTATACTGTCATGACAACTCTCGGGAGATTGGTATGGTAATAGAGATTGGCATGGTAATGGATATGACAATGTTAATGTATTTTGGTCTTGACGGAATAGATCTGCTACGCTGCTGCTGCTGAGACTTGCTACTGCGAATACATTCACAGACATTGCTGTGAGCATGCAAGTCATGCTGCTGCTGCTGCACAAGTAACACATAAATTAACCCCGTAGCAGATCTATACAGGTGGAGCTGTAAGGGGGAGGGTTCTGAAAGTGCGCTGCAAACTGTTAACAGGAAACAATGCCAAGTATTTGAATGTTTGAGCAGCAAGCTCATTGGCCGCTGATGCAACAGCAACCAATCAGCTGTGCTAAGTAGATAACAACATGATTGCTGCCATTAAGCTAAAGACCTATCAGGCTGCACCATTCAAAGTTTCATGCCAGAACTATGTAATTATGTTTGTGAATGACAACTGTCATTGCAACTGTCTAATGATTTTGTGCTTATTATGTGGTTTAGGGACCAGTTAGGCCAAAGTGTGTTGTGGTTGCCATCTGCTAAATAAAAAATTATAATTATCAGATACTGTATCTCTGACACAAATAATAGCTTTAAGTTTGTGTTTGTAGAAACAGCTGAATTATTATTATTTGTTTGTTTGTTTGTTTATTTATTTATTTATTTATTTGCAATAAGAAGATAAACTGTGCCAGACACCATCTCTCATCTACCAGACAAACACTTAATCTGTGACGGTGACCTACAAATTTTGAGATTATTGTAGTATGTCAGAGAAAAACCATCACTGAGATTCTTAAGAGAGCTCCGCCTCATGACAAGGTCCAGTGTGTTCCATTTGTTTCTATTTGGCTCCACCCCCAAATAGTCTTAAATGTTACTTGTGATGACATATAATAAATAAAAGAAGGACACCTTTGAGATTTTACATTTGGTGCAAATCTAAAAACTATTGTTGAAACAAAATCATGTTATGGCACATATTTTTCAGTGAAAATGTGAAATACACAGTTCATTTTCTGATTTGTTCCCATAATGCAACACAGTACATTATACACTATACACTATGTCAGTCAGAGGCATAGATAAAGATCTTCTTTTCTCATCCACCAAACCTGGCGGATCGTTTGTTGTTTCCCTCCAGGAAGTTAAAGATTAACTTTCTGGGCTCAAATTTGTTAACACAAACTGTATATTTCATCCTAATATTGGTGACACTTTAAAGGAGGTCAGAACTCTAAATTGCTTCCAGAAGTATGAGATTGTTTACAGCACATTCACTACTACTTGCATTCCTTTACTTGCTCTGTGTTTGATGCCTGCGGGGAAGGGTATGTGTTTGAATGGGGTGGATAGTAATCTCTTTACGCCTTTTTCAGTTCACTTTTTTTATGGTAATGGTCTGGGAAAGTGTTTAAAAGCATAATGCGTCCTACATCAGTATGAGACAACTAAAACCATTTGGTTCCAAAATACTGTAAAATAAATAACCATTAAGATAAAACTGAAGATTAAATGTTTAACAAACACAGCATAGGAGCAACGTGTAAAATCTTGGTTGATACATCAAAATCCAGCATTAGAGACATTTCAAGGGTCAAGTCATTTTACTGCATATATCACAAAAGTAAAATCATCTTGTGTCCAATCAAGCATACGCTCATTATTATAATCTATGCGGTGACACCTCTTTCAGAATCAGGATGTGATACTCCTCGTGTCTGCTTTTTACCAAGTGGACTGTTGAAATACGACCTCATACTCTCTGGGTTTTTAAGACTCGATCCTTAAATGGTAATGATAGAGATGGTATTTAGTGTGCTCTCTTTCCCAGACAGTTGTATTTTACCAGTATGTACAAGTCTTTTGTTTAGCTGAATGCAGCAGAAGGTCATGCATGAGAATTAATACTGTTTAAGAGGATTCCAGACAGATGGTATTTCTTTGTTGGAGCATTGTATTCTTTTTTATTATTATTATTAGAAAACCCAAGCATACCATCTAAATGTGGATGTTTGGAATAAAATAATTGTTGAAGCGTCTTTGTGCCTCTTAGCACACATCACTTTGATGAATTCATCAATTTCATCTTTGTGACCCCTGTCCTAATGAGTACTGTTTATTCATTTCTGTCCTCCCATCATTTCGGAGAGGGAGGAGAGAGAGAGAGAGAGAGAGAGAGAGAGAGAGAGAGAGAGAGAGAGAGAGAGAGAGAGAGAGAGAGAGAGAGAGAGAGAGAGAGAGAGAGAGAGAGAGAGAGAGAGAGAGAGAGAGAGAGAGAGAGAGAGAGAGAGAGAGAGAGAGAGAGAGAGAGAGAGAGAGAGAGAGAGAGAGAGAGAGAGAGAGAGAGAGAGAGAGAGAGAGAGCATGTGTGACTGTTTACAGCTGGGACGATCTGTTTATGTCAAACTGACTGGCAGTGGAGTGGCTGTTTTTCCTCTCCTCCTTACGGATTCTCTCTCCTCAGCGTATCTGCTTAGCTATAGCTGTAGTCTTCTCTAAGCCTTTACGTGAGACCCTCTTCGGCTGAGCTCTTATCGTTTATGAACAAGTTATCTAAGCGATATCCGATCTGACAAAATATTTGAGGTGGCTGTGATATACTCCTGTATTGGAGCGAGAGAGACCAGGCAAAGGGAATATATATTCAAAATACTCTTTTCCAAATGGATGGGATGAAGCCAGAATCGACGGCTGAGGAGAATCAAGATGAAAGGGAAGAAAGCAAAGGTTTGTAACTGTGTGTAATCGTTTTCTGTTTTGTACTTCGACTCGGATTATTGTGCTAGATGTTTTAGAGAGCGGCTTAACCTATTTGCGAAGGCTTCGCTTGCGCGCCGTTCATTGTGAATGGATCGAATATTTTATTGATTGAAGTACTTGTGATCCTCATCGTGTCATTCACTAATCATTAAAATTAATTCGTTAATTCGATTAGGGAATGCGCATGTTTTATCTAGGCACCTTTGGAGCGCTGGTGATGTCAAATCTTTCCTCTGCGTCTTTGGAGAGCCGTGCCCATCGCTGCGAGTGATGATGATGATTTGAATAAGAGCTGCTCCTCTTACCTTAGCGATGTCCCTTAAGCAAAAAAGAAGAAAAACATTTCTTTGTTTTTGGACCATATGGATTCATCCATATGAAATACTATTATACTAGCCTATATATCATTAAATTTCGAGCATATTCTAAATGTTGTGTTGTCTTAGTGTCGATAGTAGATAGTTGATGGTGACGAGGTGGAGGTGTCGCATTGTAGGCTATTGTAGGCTATTGAAGGTGTTGTTTACATTGCTGTAGTGTTCGCTGCTAAAACCAATTGACGAATTCCTATTTTTCTTATATTATATTTTCCTAATTTGATAAACAAATTTGATGAATTAATTTGCTGTTCAACGTTGCGCTACATAGCCTGAACATTTTTGACAAAATCCAAAAACATTATAATTTTTTTTTACAGCTTACAGTATAAAATAAAAGCATCAGATACGAAAATAGAATGCATGCTTTGAATATGTAAAGGCTGAGCACTTTAGTGTAACCTAGCACCTGATCCCCTGAAAAAAAAAAACATGTAATCAAAGCACTCTACATAAATCGTGTAATACAGGTTATTTGTGATTTCTGAGTTAAGCGATAATATTGGTTCAGGATTTATGATAATAAAAACATCTTATCATAAGCTGTGCTCTAAAGAAGACTATCCCTGCCTCCCACTTGACCCCCACCAGAATTGACATTTTACATGCTTCTGGACTATTTTTGTGTAGGCATAATACTTTTATGTTGACTGAGTTATGGATTTGCAGTTAAGTCCAAGTTCTCCACAAGCATCAAAGCAACAAGGAGGCTGCTCCTCCACTCCACCCACTGGTTATGTCATATATGTTTCAACCATTGAATGATCAGAGATCTAATCCATCTTTGTTAATATTCACTGCTCATAAAATGATGACATTCAAGCAGATAATTCCATATGCCTTTATTCTTTACCGCATTCTTATCCTCTCTTTCATATAAAATTTTGACCAATTTTGCCCCTAGCATGATTAGATTAATACATTATGGAAAGGGAGACCTAATGGTACCATATGTTTTGCAACTAAAATATACAGAGAAAAGTAGTCTTTATGAAAATTGTATGCATTTCCAAGAACTGTTGGTCTCTGTCAGGTCATCAGATGCTCTCTCTGGTCCTTCGGTGAGAGGTTGAGCTTTGGAGGCAGAGTACACATAATTTGTTCACTTAAAGGTGCTCTATGCACTAGAGGCCGCTAAAAGTTACGTAGACTCTACGTAACTTTTAGCGGCCTCTAGTGGTGATGTTTCAGATTGCAACCAAATTTTACAAGAGCGCTCGTGCTCGAACTCATAGACCATACCGTCTATTACGCAAATATCTCGGCGAATACTTGACGGATTCGGCGAGCACCGAGCTCGTTGGGACCATCTAGTCGAGCTGAAAAGAACCATATAAGTTCCATAGTTTTTGGTGGTGTTTTCGCGGAGATATTAGCAGAAAACCATCGGGCGCGCTGCAAAATTGCGGACGCCGGTGACGTCACGATCTCAGAAGAAAATCGCTCGTATCTCTGGAACGCAAAGACCCAGAGAGCTCAAATTCGGGGGAGGATCCCAGGGGAACCCTTGCCCGAACGCTAGAGTGGCGGGCCTCGGGGATGCCCCCTACCGGATCGCCGTTCGCTGGGACCCCCGATTTCGAACGGCTATAACTCGGGGAGCCGGTGGGCTCGTTCGAAAGGCCCTGTCCAGCACTACGAACGATTAGAGTCTTGGGAATATTGATCAAAGATTGACCGAGATATAAGCCAAAAAACGTGCGCCTTTAACCGGACGTAACTCCCTGACCGTCTACAATAGACTGTATATAAGGAGAGAGGCTCGGGAGCGCGCATGCACGTCACATCCGTTGGATTTCGCGGTAAATCCGACCCGGAGACTTCACATAGAAATAGGAATACTGGCCTTCAGAGGTAATAGCAAAACTCGACAAGTGGATCATTTTAATGTGTGATTACAACCCCTTCACACACAGGCAATAAAAAAAGGATTCATTTTAGTAGAAAAGTTACATAGAGCACCTTTAAAGAATGAGTTCACCTATTTTCAACCGGCTTTGTATTGTTACCACTGTTTGAAATATATGCAAATGAACAATTAGTACTCTTTCTCTGTTACCTGTACCCAGATATCCCTGTTTATTTGCCAGCAAAAGTCTGCCGGATGATGCAAACTGGTCTATTCCATCCCACCGACAGTCAGATCAACAGGGGTGGCTCCAAAATCAAAAAGTGCATTATGGGTACATTAAGGGAATCCCACAGCCCCTTTTCTCCGTTTTCTCTACTCATGTCACACCAATTCACGTTTCTACTTTTATTAAAAGCCCATCTTGCCAGTTGTGAATTCTCACTTTAAGGTAGCAATAACATTTTTATATAACTTTTTTGCTCTAGTAGTCACAACTTGCTCTTCCTATGATGTGACTCCTTGTCCTTCCTTTGATGTAACTGCTCTGTAGTTAAAGTCGGCATGAAACGGAAGTTGCGATTGTTTTTTCTTCCTTGTTGTTATGCATACCCGAACTTCCCGAACAAGAAAAAAAAAGAAATTTTGTTAATCAGGAATAGAGTGGTGCAGGGATGACATATTTTTGTAGACCAACCCGGAAGTTTGCATCACCCTTGGTTCCCTCGACAAAAACCCAATAAGATTTTTGGACTATTGCAGAAAATAAGGTCTCTAACAAAATCTTATGATTCTTACATGTTTTGTTCATCAAGATAATCTTCACAAATGAAAAAAGTCAAAAGCTAAATGTAGGCTATAAACAAACTACACCACAGTCGAATGACTTCAACGTCACTAAGCTGAAAGTGAAACTGAAAGTTTGAGTTATAATAGTTTGCAAGCGCACCATTATAATCACAACGAGACTGTGGAAAGTGGTCTAGTGAGTAGATGAGTTTACCTGTTTGGCTGATGATTTTTAATGTCCCCGACAGCTTCTGTAGTTCCATTTAGCCACTTGTTAGCAACCACTTTTTTTAAAAAAAGTAACAGCTTTAAAAAAGAGGGAATTACTGATGTATCGCAGAATAAAACGTGAAAACATCTTGAGCTCTTATTCACCAGAGACCTTATTTCAAGCGTTTAACCAAAAACCCATTAAAAAAAACCTAACTTCAGGACGATGGAACTAGAAGTGCTAAAATGCTAACTCTTCTCGGTTTTGGCCTACAAAAATATGTCATCCCCTGCACCACTCTATTGATTGGATCGTTGTGGTTTGCAATTGGCCATAAACACATCATCAAAGAAGAGAAGAGATGTTTCTGCAGGCGAGGGGAAGTTATTTTGATTAAAGATTGTAAGGGCACATTAATTAAAAAATAATAATTATGTGCACAGATAAATCATTTATAATACTGCAATATTGCATAAAAATAATTGTCAATTATTTTACTTAATAATGGTACGCAACACCGTCTTATCACAATCCAATCAACAACCATTGGATAAATTCAAGTCCCACCCTAAATTTCATTTTAAAATTTTCAACAAGCTATTTTACACCAAAATGTGTCACAATACAGAAGTAAATTCGGTCGCAATTAAATGCCTTAAAACGTTTAGAACAAAAAAAAACAACAACTGGCCTTATAGTTGCAGTAAGCAATAATTCCTACATTACTGTAAAATAAATCATGAAGACAGTACAACATGCATACTGTTGCATATTTCTTAATTGCTGAATAAATCAGAATATGCACAATGGGCTGAATGAACAAAAATTGTGCATGTGAAGAGACCAGATGAACAGGTGTTTTGAAGCCTCATTGCTGAGGTTTCGAGGCTAATATGCTTGTCTTTTTGTAGAGCAGAATTATGCAGAAATTTTATTCATTCCTTATTTGGTACACCTTGTTCAATTTCCTTCAAAGCTTTCTGAGTATTGTTCATCATTTGACCAATTCATTCTGCCTTTAATGGGGCATGGGATACTTTTTTATGTTTCTCAATGAGTAAATAACATAAGCCAATGATGAGAGAATATGCATATGAGAATATGAGAATTTTTAATCTCACATGCACAGAAGAGGCGGCTTGCACCCTCTTCTCTTTTTACATAACTCCTGCACTTTCCACATCAAAAGGATTACATCATTCCTGTGACATGAAAGGGGAGGGGCATATAGACTAAAGGTGGGGGAGATAAAAATGAAAATTGCAATAATCTATTTTCACTGTTAGAGTCATTGTATTTTTTACATCTGTTTTTGCAATCATGAAATATGTAGGACTGGGAGCAGTAAAGTAATGGCTCACATGATGGAAATAACATTCTTTTTTCCCATTATTGTCTACTGTACAATAATGGAAAATACATTTTGTGGTCTGCTTTTAGCCTTTAGGCCAATATTGCCTGATATAGATGTTAAGGATACTCTCAGATAAAGGCATTTTTCTCAGGTTTATGTACATTTATTTTCTTGGGACTTGGCACATTTATTTGGTGTCAGTGTTCAATAGCAGTGTGGGGAAGTTACTCAGAAAGAAATTACTAGATGTCTTTCAAGTATTTTAAAAATGTCTAAAACCTCTATAGTGAGACTTTTAAATTCTAGAGAACTTAGCATTTACTGTAAAACCTGTTTGTTTTTGTGTGCATGTACATTGGCTGTGTATGTGTGCAGTTGTGTGTGTTA